CTGAGAGCCCGCTCCTTTGCAGCCGACAGGAGATGCTGCAGCCTGGCGATGGGCTGCTGGTGCAAAAACTCCTGCTGAGTTCCAGTCTCGGCAGTTTAGGGAGGAAGGACCATCCTGCCAGCACCGTGGCCTCGCCAGCAGCTCACCTGTGCCCGTCCCCTCTCCTCACGGTGCAGCCGTGCCCGCAGGGCTCCCTGCAACCTCTGGTGCGTTGGTTTGGCACGGGCTGGAGCTGATGGTCATCAGCATGGTCACCCTCCCTGGCCACGGCAGTCCCATGGAGCCCATGGAGACACACACATGCCCTGAGCTGGGGACACATCCTTGCTGCCCCATGGCTGAGTTCACCGGAGAGAGGGGACAAGCACTGCACATCCCAAGGGGCTGAGCATTGTCCCATTGTCACTGAGGGGGCAGACAGAGGTCTGGGGTGCAGGGGGTGCTCCGGCCAGGTAGGGCAGCCCGATGGCTCCACATGAGAGCAGACAGCTGGGTGGGGACAACCAGCACCTGTGGTAGCCCCCAGTTCTGGGGAAGGTGGGCACCACAGGGATGTGCAGGGTCTCTCTGTGTCCTGGTGCAATGCACGGTTCTGTGTGAGCACCAGTATCCCCAGCTGAGCATCGTCCTGCATCAGAGGGCAGGGCCAGCCCGCAGCACCAGCGGTTTCAGGGCTGGGGGCGGGAAGCGGCTGCTGCCGGAGCGGGGGCCGTGCTGGGTGTGAGCCCGCAGCACCTCACCCACCGTGCGGCGGAAAGTCTGGCTGACAAAGCAGTAGAGGAAGAAGTTGAGGGTGGTGTTGAGCATGGCCACCATGTTGGCAATGTCCAAAGCCAGGTGCATGCGCCAGTCCCTCTTGACTGAGGCCACGTAGAGGTGGCAGATCATGACGATCGTCCGGGGAGCCCAGAGCACGATGAAGACGGTGGTGACGGCTAGGAGGAGGGCTGTGGTCTTGCTCAGGCGGGGTCGGCCGCCCCCGGAACGTCTACGTCGCTTCAGCTTGCAGATGATGACAGAGTTGGTGGCCAGGGAGATGCTGCAGGGCAAGAAGTATATGGTGACGCAGGGGACCCCCCTTAGG